TTTCCCTACTCTCCTCCTTGTCACTGCAAGTACAAGTATAATGTGGGATATGTTGGCCATTTCCATCCACAGAATCCTTCCAATCCATGTAACCACTTGCTCTCGAGGCGTTCCTTACAGCATGCATATTCCGGCTATCATCTGGATGTTGATTTGAAACCACCTCACTGTCTTCACTTTTCAAATTGGAAATGAATACATTATTATCTTTCAAACCGGTATTCTTTTCTACCTTCAACCCTTTTCTGGCTTCAGAAAATTTGAACTTGAAGGACTTGTAAACAGGCTTGAAGACCGCAGTTGAATGGTCATCCATGGATTCGCTATTTGCCTGGTAATCGATACAAAAGAAAAGCTACTAGTAATGGAAAACAATGAGGCTGGTCTAGTTTAATTTAATGCAATTAACGGCTTTATCTGTAACATAAAAAAAATTGAGCAATATATAATTGAGTGTTCACTTTTGCCTGCACACAGAGCCCTCTTGGGTGCTGGTTATAACTTACAAGAAGGTTCGGTATTATTCAGTCCTTTGATGAGTGTTACAATATGATGCTTCCCATGTCAAAAACAGACATCCTGCTCAGTAATGCCAATAAATGATTAACCTCAAAACTGTTCTGCCTTGGTGGAGAATAAGTGTCAAGTGAATTATTGTTTTTTTTCCACCTCAGATTAAGTTCCATATTACAAAAAGATTAGACACAGCGTGCAAGAATACAACACATAATTTGGAGCAACATGCATTAGTTTAATTCAATGGCAAAGAAATGAAAGAAGGTTCAGACACAAAACTTCAGGGTATACTTGGGTTGGAAGGAAATCAAAATTTTATCCTTGTAATTTGAACCCGATTTCATTTTCGTGCATATAGATTGAAACTACCTAGACTGAAAAAATGTTACTTAGAAATGGTCAAGCATCTAGTATTGCAGCTATTGCTACTCACCTGGCAGGTGCATGTCATTATGGAGGGTCCGCTCGTTCAGCTGAAACAGAATACTCCACCATTTCAACAGATTCTCTACTGGTTTCCAAACAATCCAGATATTTCCGATCCGAAGGTGACCTGCATTTACAGAAGCATACTTTAGAGCCAGGGTTTTGTTTCAGCAAATTAAAGATCAGGAAAACAAACTTTGAGCAATTAAGAAGCTCTTTCTTTAATTAAAACTTATGTTGTGTAAATCCACATTGAATATTAGTCAAGAAACATGAACTCTACAAAATTCTGGTAACCGATGAGGAAAGTGGAGGTAATTGGGAAAACGGTAACAAAAAGCATAAACTAACCATAGCAACTGTTAAAGGGCTTGTACAAATCCTGACAAAGAACAAGAGAGAAAAACCAATTTTTTTGGTACGTAATACTAGAGAAATTTATGGCTTATATGAACAAGCAAAAATTATTAAGATAGAAGTTAGAAACGAAATACCTTTTATTCAAACGAAAAATAAGAGAAAAGCAGAACTTCTGGCTTACAAGGTTAGCATATCTTTCAGTCTTCCTGTCTTTGACAAGCAAAAATGGGATCAGCCCTGCAAAACGTGAATGCTCATAACAGATGGAATAAAGAAACTGAGGTAAACGGCTCAACTGCAGATTGGATTGAAAACTCTTGTTTTAACCACAAACTCCTTCCATCAAATACATTTGGGAGATGAAAGGCATAATTTGGAAAGTTTTTACCAGGAACAAATGCAGAAAACTTTTAAATTTGAAAACTTCTATAATAGCAACCCCAATCAAAGATTCCCACATAAGCACTACCTGGCACATGGGAATTTGTGAATTTTGGTTATATTAGGTTAGGTGAACATCCCATAACCATGATTCAAATTTCTTCTGTCAATCTTTTCTTGTTATGTTGCCTTCCTTTTTGGTTAAGACATTCATTTAATTACCAAAAAAAAAAAAAAAAAAAACCATGATTCAATTTTCTACTTTCAACTTTTTATGGTCAAGATGTGGAAGTAAAGGAAACATGAGTAGGAGAGGATAAAGAATGACAACCCAGAATATCATTTTGTACCATGATTTCTCTATCTCCAAGGTTTATAATCCAAGTTTTGAGCCACTACTTACTTTGAGACATATATTTAATTACAAATTAGAAGAGGTTTACATTTCCAGGTGTTTTCCTCAATCATTCTTTGTAGCTGTGAAAGCTATTTCTCCTACCTAGCAACTTTTGATCACACCTGTGAATATATTATACATCTTTCCGGTGATTATTAAAGAATTATATTTGGAAAAGATCCTACTAACTAAAGTTAAGGATTTGACTTTAGATACATTAAGATCCAAATCTTTTAAATCCAACAGAAGTGAAAAACCAGAAGATCACTCAAACAAATTATCCATGTTTTGATGCCCACTTTAGTTTTCAATAAAAGTAAAAAAAGTTAAAGAAATTCCAGTTGACAGATATAAGGTTATAAGTAGATGAGAACTACCTCTCTGTCAGTCCAGGAGAACATGAAGCAAGTTCTTGATTGTCCCCTTCTGTCCTGCAGATAGTACAGACATGAAGATCATGAAATGCCAGTATTCAGATTGTTGAGTGTCAATGTCATATATAAAGCATTTGGAGGAACCTAACAGACAGAGTTCCCAAAAGAACATGATAATAAAAGGACAGTTCAAAGCATTAAAAACCCATGAAACAGGTACTGATGCTTTAGTAATTGAACTGTCATCACTTTGCCAACACAAATCTTCTTGGTTATGTCTCATTGGCATCTTCTTTTTCTTTTCTTTTTGGAACAGTCCATCTCTCCTTGGGTTTAATTATCTTTTACTCCATAGAAGTGCAATTTACTATCTGCCACTTACTCCTCCTCCTTTTCCTTGGGTTTTCTAGGCAACCAAGCAGTTGCTTATGGGTTAACTAAAAAATTAAAAGCAGGTGCAACTTAAAAAGACTGCATTGAATTTCCCATTTAATAGCAATCTTCTGCAGATGACATTACCAGAAAAACTAACAGCAAAAAATTATTGAAACAGAAAACATTCCCAATGTGCAAATATTTTTTATGGCAAGATTAACTTCATTTACAAACAGGTAGGAGGAGGAGAGATGGTAGCCAAGAAGGCTGATCTTCCATCCAACTTTCAGCTGCATCTAACTGAACACTTGGCTAATTACTTGATGTAGATATAGATGAAGCTTAGACATAAACAATACAATTGTATTTAATTTTTATTTTTAGAATTCGAAAAAAAACAAAGAAAAGAATGACTGAAAAATAAAAATAAACCAATCCTTTTTATCTTTTTATATATTTTTTCTCATACATGGAGCATTTTGAGATTTTGAATCCCCAATTAAATGATAAGGGCATTTTGGTAAAATCAATATTCGTTGAAAAATCGATTGTCTGAAAAGAAGTGATTTTGAAAACATAGTCCGCGACTGTGCCACTCTCTCTCTCTCTCTTCCCCTGTCCGGCTCTCTCTGCGACTTAACTTTTCAAATTTGATTTTCGAAAAAGAAGATAAATTGGAGAAGAAGAGGATGTACGAGGCACAGAATTTCCTGCAATCGCAAGATAATTCAAGTAATTTTGGCCAGGACCTAAAATTGTGGCTTTCAGGGGATGCCAACTCGTCCCCAACTCAGTCCTCACTCGCGCATTCTTCCACCACCACCACCCACAACAGCAATGTCGATCGCGTCCTCTTCAAAGACCTCGTCGAGATCGTCCCTCTCGTTCAATCCCTCATCGTAAGCTCTCTCTCTCTTGAAGTGTAAATTGTCAGCTCTCTGGCCTTTTCTTTTGATTGTGTCTTGTTCCCGAGCAAATGGGGAAAATAAGCGTTAATGGCTGACTTGGGATGGATTGAGTAAATTTAAAAATTGTTACTTTATGTGTTTCCGATTGGGATTGGAGAAAATGAAATTGGTATTTTCAATTAAGGATCTTTTTCCTTCTTTTACTCACAAAATTCATAGCAAACTATTTTAGGATCGGAAAGCAAGCAGTTCGTTTACGCGGCGTGGTTCGGTGACCTACACCAAGACACCTTCTAGAGAGTCCTTATCCAAAAAAGTAAGAATTTTATATGCTTTTGCTAGCTTGCTAATTTTGGATTAATCAACTGTTATTTATGAATACTTATGCGGTTTTTTTTTAAGTGATGAAGCTAATGTTTGTTTTTTTGGTCGAAAAATGAAGCTAATGTTAATATACATTTTTTTAAGCATTAAATGCAGTAAATACAATTGTAGTATAAAGTGTCATGATAGCACTCAGCATGATAGTATACCCAAATTGGTGGGGTGTAGAACTACTATTTGTTGTCCTTTGAAGAATTTGATGTCTGTGAATGCTCCAGTGGTTTTCTCTTTTCCGAGGACTCAAATAATTTTCTTTCCTTATTGTTTTGTTTCTTTTGAATTTCCCTTTTATTAGTCAACCAGTAATGCAACAGATTATTGAACTTGTGTAAAATCTAAAGAGGTTTCTTGGATTAAGGGGATTATTGATGACGAATTTTCATTATCAATCACCATTGGAAATTGGAATTGTTGCTACTACATCAAAACCTTGGGATTTTACTTTGGTTCTTAAGCTCTCATTTTTTATACCTGACAATGTCGTTTTGATTTTGTTGCTTTTCGTTACTTCGATTTTGCTGTGAAGGGCCCCTTCTGTATACCTAATATTCCTCTCCTCTTATCTGCTGAAGGTAACTGAACAAAAAGGGAGGAATCCAGCTCAATCCATTCCCATAAGAAAGAAGAGGGATCATGGAGACAAGGACCCCAGCACGAATGCTAGCAATAACCCTGATTCTGACATCTTTTCTAATTTTTCCTCAAGAACTTCAGCGGAGCAAGAAGAGTTGGATGCATTAAGGGTACAAGTGGATGATCTACAAAGAAAAGTATCAGAGAAGGAGGAACTTTTAAAGTCATCGGAGATATCAAAGGACCAAATGAAAGCTATTCAAGCAAAACTTGACGAAATGAAGCACCAAGTTTCAGAAAAGGATGCGTTAATCAAGGCTGCTAAGCTACAACTCTCTGATGCAAAGGTAAGCGTGCATCACTCAGTGCCTTGAAGACGATTAGGGATTTCTTATGATATTTTATTTCCTTGTGAGGCCTAATGACAGTAGTCAATCTAGATTTTGGAGTTGCTTCATTGGGTTCTAGAGGGTACAAAGGCAAGATTGTGTGAAACGTTCCCTTTGTTAATGTAGCATACAAACAAAATCTGTGTTAAAGTAGCAACTTGCCTAAAATGGAGCAGAGTCCTGTTTATAAACTTTATTTTGCTTACTCTCTCTCTCTCTCTCTCTCTCTCTCTCTCTCTCTCTCATACGCACACACAATGCTTACTGTGAATCATACTGTTATCGACGTATGTCCTTTTTCACAGATTAAGCTTGCAGATAAGCAAGCTGCTTTGGAAAAGTTACAGTGGGAAGCAATGACATCTAACAGGAAAGTGGAGAAGCTTCAAGAGGAGCTAGACTCCTTGCAAGGACAGATTTCATCGTTTATGTTCCTATTTGAAGGCTTGATGAAAGCGGATGCCATTGTATACGGTGAAGATTATGATATTTCACCGTGCACTGTGGATCATCTTCCTCATATCGTAAGTTCATAACCCCCTCACTTGGATATGGTTGTTTATTTCCTTTTTTTTTTTTGGTCGGTTGTGTCACGTATTTTATATTAACTAATTGCTCGAGACACCTCTGTTCTTGCAATCATATTCTTGTATCATTGCTATTAATCTTTCAAGTATCTGTTTACTTGGTTATTGTGTGTTGGTGACAAAGCGTCTGTGTGTGTGTTCAAGCAAGCTGGAAATACAATAAAGAACAATTTGTTGAGCCCAAGGTTGTACTTTTGCGTGGGATATAATGTGTCGAGAAGAGTTTGTTTATGTATGTATATCCACTTGTTGGCTGCTTTATTCCTTGTAGCTGAAAGATCCATGCTTTAATGAACAGGATGATTTGGATGAGATGCAGATGCGGAAAATGGAAGAAGCTAGAAAAGCTTACGTCACTGCTGTTGCCGCTGCAAAAGAAAAGCGAGATGAAGAATCTATTGCTGCTGCAGCCAGTGCAAGGTTACATCTTCAATCATTGGTTCTCTAAACCAAAAGTGGAGAATTAACAAACCCTTACTGAAGAATTCTCATGCTAGCTCCACTAGGTTTGACTAGTTTTGCAGTGTGGTAGTATCCATGAATTGTTGTTGATTGTTGTATATTTATATTTCATTCCTCGTTTTTTGCTGGGCTATGTGAAATGTGATTCGTTTCCTTTTTCTTTTAGGATAAATAGACTATGGAAATGGTTGTTGATAATAGTATCTAATTTCTCCCATGGTCAAACATTTATTGTTATCTTCAATATGCCCTTTGCTTTCTCTCTGCGCTTCCTTCCTTACAGGAATTGAGTTATAAACATTGTTGATCTAATATCTTAGATCTGAAAGTTCATGGCAGAATGTTGCTTTTCTGAA